GTTTTTTTATTCATATTCGTTTATTGCCTAAAAGTTGACACCAGTGTTGTGCAGTTCAACTCACACTTCTTCTCCTTTTCTTTTTCACACCTCTGGATCTTTTTTCCTTTTCTATTTGGATCTTAAACTTTCTCAGTCTGGTTCTTTCTTGATTCCGAGAGCTCTCCTTCCCCTCTCTCTTCCCCTTGGTCTCCCGTCCCTTTTAGCTGTTCCTTTTTTCTGTCCTTTTCTCTGGCTATGCACCATGTTGTCTTCTCCTACTGTGATCCTTCAGCCCTACGGACTCCCAGTTTACCCTCAGACGGCCTCCTGCTACCCCGGCATTGTTCAGGTAAATATACAAATCTACCTTTATATGTATCTACTTTATTATTAGTTTTATTTTATTAACATTTTTTACCATTTTTATTTTACAATTTTAATTAGTATATTATTTATTTAATAAAATTATTAAGAGCAATTTAAAAACATTTATCATACGCATTTTCTGTCACATGTCTGGTAAAATGTTAAACAAATCAACCAATCACTGGCCAGCAAACGGTTTGTATATCAAGTAAAGCAAGATCCACCAATGTGGCATGAAATGTGTTTGTCAGTGAAGGACGCTGCGGTTAGTTATATTTGTCCCTGCTAGGTGGCCTACTGAAAACAGGTTCAGTGCATACTTGTGTTTGTGCGTGTGTGTGTGTGTGTGTGTGTGTGTGTGTGTGTGTCTGTCAGACATGATGAGCTGATCATGTCAACACTCGCTGTCACAGGCCTTCACTGTCCTTCATTTGTTTATCTTGTGAATAGTTTTATTGGTTTATGAGTCTTTAATGTCTGGCAAAGGGACTGTCAATGAAGACGAGACACTGAGCTCATCTACACTGCAGAAACGGGTTCTCGTGTTCTCGTGTCCTCGTGTCCTGCTTCTAGTCCAGATATCTCCAAACCCTTAAATCAAGACGTATTCTGTAGATAAGCAGAGCATATAGTGCCGTGTTCAGACATAATGAGTCGAACTGCAGAGAGTCTCTCAGTGCAGCAAGAGGAGTAATCTGCCAGTGAGGGAGCGGAGGGATCTAGTTTCTCCTTTTGACGTCAGATTATTCCTCTTCCTCCATGGTCAGATTATTGTGCTGTTTCACTGAGAATCTCTCTTCATTAGTCTGAACACAGCGCTATATTCTCTGCTTGTCTAGAACAGGGTTCTGTGTTTAAGAGATCTCTGGACTGGAAGCAGGACAGGAACTCAGAGCAGGTAATAAGCGGTGTGTTCCCCAGCGCTGCACGTCTCCAGCGAGCGCTCGTCTGCTGTGATTGGGGTAATGTGACTCCGCTGTGAGTTAAAGTTGAGGTGATTAAAGGTTTGTCTCGACTCCACGTGATCCGTCAATACCACTGACTTTCACTCAGATCCAGCCTGAACTTTACTCCCATCACTGGAGCTCAGCGCTACATGTGCTTCACATCGCAGAGAACAGGAGCGCCATTATCCAGCAGAGGCTCTGAACGCCACGCCAACACATCAGCCATCATCAGCACAGCCGCTCCACAACTCTCAGACATGTGTGTGTGTGTGTGTGTGTGTGTGTGTGTAGGACACAATGACATAATGCAGGATCCATCAGATGGGAACTCTGTATTTAGGTCATTCATTCTCCTTTGGCTTAGTCTCTTCACCACAACCGTTTTACACCCTTCAAGCTGCAACCCACTACTGGGAAACACCCATACACACTCCTTCACACACACACACACTCATACACTTCGGCTAGTTTAGTTGATCAGTTCCCCTATAGCGCATGTGTTTGGACTGCAAACCGGAGCACCCGGAGGAAACCCACGCCAACACAGTGAGAACATGCAAACTCCACACAGAAACACACACTGACCCAGCTGAGACTCAAACCAGAGAGCTTCTTGCTGTGAGGGGACAGTGATAACCACTGAGCCGCCTCCATATTTGGGTCAGTTAGTCTCGTGTTTAACCCAGGGCTCAGACTCAGAACAGATCGAGTGTGTCAGACATCAGAGCAGCCATAAAATCTACACTGTTCCTCCACATGTTCACCATCACATTATGCAGCTTTATGTCACTTTTAC